CAGTCCAGCTCGTCCCTGCCTCCCTAACCTGTTCTTCCTCCCACCTATCCCCTCCTCCCACCTCAAGCCGCACCTCCATCTCCTACCGACTAACCTCATGCCGCCCCCTTGACCTGTCCGTTCTCCCTGGACTGACCAATCCCCTCCCTAACTCCCCACCTACACTCACCTTTACTGGCCCCATCCCCACCTTTTCGACCTGTTTGTTTCCTCTCCACCTATCCTCTCCTCTATCCATCTCCTATCCGCCTCCCACTCTCTCCCTATTTATTTCAGAACCCCCTTCCCCTCCCCCTTTTCTGATGAAGGGTCTAGGCCCGAAATGTCAGCCTCTCTGCTCCTATGATGCTGCTTGGCCTGCTGTGTTCATCCAGCCCTGCACCTTGTTGTCTCACTATCAAACAACAGTCTGAAAAGTATCAGATTCTTCAAGAAATCAGAAACTGCAGCAATTACAGGAAATAAACAAAGGGAAAAAAAAGCCTTCAGCCTTCGCACTCCAACATCAGCCATCAGCTGATAGAAGTCAAAAGAACATTTTAGAATGCAAACAAACAAAGCTCATTCACAAAAAAGTGATCTTTTAAGAGCCCACAGGAAAGTCCTTCAAGACAAATTGAATTCACAACAGGAAAAGAAAAGCTTGAAAGAGAATTTTACGCATTCAATGCAGAAACAGCTAGAGTTCTTGCACAACTGAACATCAAAGAGACACCTTAAGTGAAAGAAAGGTTTCTCTCTTGCTGAAATATTCAGAGCCTGAAGATCACTGTTAATTTTTAGTTGGAGAAAGCATTTGGTTCCAATCCATGAGAGATGATCTTGCCTCTTTTAGAGAAACTCTTGAGTAAGGGAATAAATCTTTGTTTAGGTTTTCAGAGGACTATCCTAGAAAAGGAAGCCTGCATTACTGAAAGTGATCAACTACAGAATGTTTGTGATTTTTTTAGTGAAGGAATTGGAAAAGGATGTGGAGGAAGTTGCAGAATTTAAGCTCTTGAATCTAACCAGCCCAATCTCTGGAATAAATTGTGACTAACAAGGAGGTTCCAGATCTGGCATATCCTGCTATTGTGCAATCGACCGCTGAGTTTGCAGAAGAGTTTCCTAGAGAAACTGATGAAACAATCCCAGAATGATAACTTTTAAAGTCTTTTCTAATTCGCGATTTTCACGATGTCCCTTGATTTACGTGGAGGAATGGCATCTGGCTGAAGGGAATGCGCCTTCCTACTACTTAGAGAATGAACAATTCTTACCATGGCCCCAGAGCTGTCACTGTCATCTCCAGACAAACCTCAAGCTCACAAGAATAGGCAAGTAGTAGATGTATTATCGAAAGGTTGCAACTCCAATCTGGCAAAATTTTCCCTTTCCAAGGAACAGCACATGAAGTACATTCATCCCACCCATCCTCAAAGAGGGCTGAGGATATGGTTGGAGATTGCAACCTTGGCCAGAAGAGCCTTTTGTAGATGTTTAAATTCAATAGAGCATGTTATGTGCTTTGTTATGAATGTGTGTGAACATTCTGCTAGTGTGGAAGCAACAGCACCTTTGCCATAGAAAACAATACCATTGGGATGGAGCTGATCTATTGCCCTGTCCTTTAACTATTTTTGTCACTCCACAGATGACCACGAAACTAAGGCATGACGATGATTCCCTACCAATTCTTCCCCAGATTGTGTGTGATAGATGAAGGATATGTACGCCTATGATCTGGAAGAGGATGACCTCTCTGCTAGACAAAAGCAGCCTGGATGGAGGTCACAGTGGAGGTCAGTAGCCTCAGGAATATTCAGCAAACCTGGCTGCAGAGCCACAAGGGGCTCCATTCACTTTTCAGGTCTCCAAGAAAGAGTGGGTCAGCATTCTGGGAACGGGCATATATGGAATGGGATGATGTGAGTCAATTCTGGGATTGTGTGTTGCACACGTGTGTAAGGTGGCGTGAAGCAGACATGCCAATTAGCTTTAAAGTGAGGGGAGGATGTTGGGAGAATTTTCAAGCCCACATTTTGGCAAAAAGTGTTGAGGGAAATGAGTTTTGACCAAAAGCCATAATGGCCACCTATTTGAAGGTCCAACATCACCTTTACAATCTGGAAATACGGAAGATGCTGCACATACCTAACGGAGGTGGACCAGATGTGAACATCCAGACTCCAGGATGACATTTTTATCTTCCCAGCATCATTCTCAAGTGGTTGGGGGGAAGGGAGCAGATATGAAGCTGGCAGTGACGGATTAAGACTTTGAAAGCTTACCTACATCATGGAGCAATGTGAGCCTCCATGGTGAATGGTGTGGGGTTCAAACACTGACCCATATTTTCCAATTGTTGCAGTGGTTGTAATGATGAATTGCATCTCAGCACACTCACCTCAAAGACAGAAAATGCCCTTCACTCTCCTTCCTTTTGTTTCCTACATAGTAAAACATTGGCTGTTACAGGAACTAGCCCTGGGGTTGGACCAGTGTTGATTTCTGAGGAGGAAGAAGATGCCTGAAGGCTGCAGTGTCACATCCCGGCTGTACACTGTGCCCTAGCTAAGATACACTTTGGTGGGTGGGTGTGGTTCAACTCGAAAGAATGCGCACCCTAGGACCAGAGAGTGTTGAAAGGGGCAGGCATTGTGGCTATGCCCCAGACAAACCTATGTAATTCTTTGACTGTGATGGAGCACATCTGCACATTTACTGAGTGGTACCCTTCTTGCTTTATGCTGTCCCGCTGGTGATTTTATGGGTACGGTTGGTTACCCTGTACCCATGGGCAGGCAGCATGGCTACACATCTTCTGGCTCTTTACACTTGACTGGTTTTGTTAAATTTGAATGAAATATACTGATGGACACGATTAAACCTGACTCCAGTAAAGACCTTAATGTAACAGGGTGCTGCATGGTTTGTGGTTCCGCTGAGGTCTCCAATGAAGCATGGAATGAGCTGGAGATGAAGAAGTTCACTCTATAGTTGCCACAGACATTGGGTTGGTCACCCTCACAATTCAAGGTCACTGTATCTCATTCAAGAGCATGTCATAGAGGAGTGTTTCAGATGACACAGACCACTTCTCCTCAAAGACAAAGTCCCTAGGGTAATGTTGCTCCATTGCTCTAAGTTAGGACATCCTGACCATGTACTCTCAGATAACAGGCTGAAATCTCTGTCTATCTCTGACTGCTGCTGCCCCCCATTCTCAGCTCCACACTTTGCAGCAGGTTTCCCACTCTCCTTGACCTCATGGCACAACTGTCCCTGGCCAGTGACATCTTCCTCCTACTCTCCACCTCCTCTCTGACCAAGGTGCTTTCTGCAGAATGCACGGGGTCTTCATAGGAGACAGAGCTCAATGATGACAGGAACACCTCTTTGCTGAGGAATTGCCCTGAATCATATGAGAGTTAGAAAAAAAAGCCACATTTTCCAAATGAAGCAGACTCCTCTGCTGAAGCCAGGTACAAGTAACCCTTATTACAGAGTTCATCTGCACCTTTTCAGCAGCTGTGAAAAGGAGGGTGAATTTTATTTTGTGCATCCGCCACAATCTGACGTGGGACATGTTTTCTTCCAGTTAATTGCAGTTTTAAATATGCTAATTGATAGTTGATGATTTTTTAAAAAATGGTAGGTGGGCACTGAAGTTCAGAGGCTGGAGTGTGGTATTATTGAAGTGATAGCATCAGGTTCCCAACCTAAATATGTCAAGCTGGATTTAATACCAGTGGGGCTACAGCAATCATGCTTTTACCAGATGAAATTCAGCTCTTTAAATATATTTTTATATAATCTTTTTAGGATGTGTTGCCCAGAAACGAGCAGAGTACTCCTGACAACCAGGGCTTTATATAAACATGGCATAACATGTTCCCTTTGCATTCTAGTCCTATATTTTCATAGAATCCCTACAGTGTGGAAGCAGGCTATTCAGCCCATTGAGTCTGCACCAACACTCTGAAGAGCACCCTTCCCAGACCCAGCCACCCGCCCTACCCTACTATCCTACATTTCCCATGGCCAATCCACCTAACCTGCTCTGTGGGAGAAAACTACAGCACCTGGAGGTGACCCACACAGACACAGGGAGAATATGCAAGCTCCACACAGACAGTCACCTGAGGGTGGAATTGAACCCAGGTCCCTGGTGCTGTGAGGCAACAGTACTAACCGCTGAGCCACAGTGCTGCCCAGCTTTTTAAAAATGATAATGCTAAATTCCCCTTTTTTGATTATTTTCTCTACTGAAATATTACATTTTTGTGATTTCTATGCATGGACCCCTACATATCTTTGGACCTCCACAATCAAAGAACAAAAAATATTACAGCACAGGAACAGGCCCTTCTACCCGTCAAGACTGTGTCAACACCTGACGCCTTTCTAAGTGAACAAGTTTTGTTTCTATGCAACCCATATCCCTCTATTTCCTGCCTATTCATCTATCTGTCAAGATGCCTCTTAAAGTGTTGCTATTGTATCCTCCTCACCTCCTCTAGCAGAATGTTTTATGCACTTACCATCCTCTGTGTAAAAAAACTTGCCTCTCACATCTCCTTCAAATTTACCCCTTCTTACCTTAAACCTATGTCCCCTAGTAATTGACATTTCTAGCTAGAAGGGTTGAGTGGTTTTGTGTGCTAAACTTAACTTTGATAAGAACAGAATATACACATGGACATGGGCAGCATGGTGGTTCAATGGTTAGCACTGTAGGTTGGGTGGATTAGCCATGGGAAATGCAGAGAAAGGGGTTGGATGCTTTTTGGAGGGTTAGTGTGGACTTGATGGGCTGAATGGCCTGCTTCCATACACTATGGATGCTATGATTCTAGACCACTTATTTTTTGCACAAAATGTTTGAAATTTATAGGACTATCCGCCCAATTATACATTATTCGTCCTCACCATTCATTAACATGGCACAATATGTGTCTTTAAGTAGATGTAGTTGGTTGTGTGAAGGCATTACAGGGTTAAAACAAGGGCTCAGATGGTGCTCTTTATAGATTATTTTAATAAACTGAGCGAACAGAATGAGTTTACATCTTAGAAATATTATTTACATTCACAAGTCTGCGTTGCCTCTACATTTTTAGGCACAATTGTGCTGCATTAACAAGTGTGAAATGCAATACTGCATGTATATTATTTCTTCCTTTCACTTTTTTGCTGTATTATCCTTTATCTTGATGAACAAGTTACATTTATAAAACAGAATCTTATTAAAAATTGATAAAATCTTTTTTACAAAACAGCTACATGTAAAATAAAAAAGGAGAAAATTCTTAGAATAAGCAACTCTGCCAGCAGCAGAAAAGTATAAAAGACAAGTTACCATTTTGGATCAGGTCCTTTCACAAATTACTCTTCTTTATGTTTACAGGCTTGTGGGACATTTGCATCATTTTATTTGATTTTTTTTAGTTTCAGATTTTTAGCCACTGCAGCTTTAACCTTTTTGCCTTTGCAACTTTAAAAAAAGTCAACAAACTAAAAACAAATACTTCCTGTTTAAAACATACATGAAATATCAATCCATAAACAAACATATCTAAACAGAACCATCACAGAAAGGCTGTTGTGCAAATGAATATTTCCGTTCAATGATGGGAATCAGTCTTTGTCATAGCTTGAAGAAAGGTTTCATAATTCCGGATCGCTGTAAAACAAGTTGAAAAACAGACAACTATCAGTCACAAGGAGCTTGAACAGATCATAAAGAAATAATGTACTCCTTCATCCCACATTACCATTCACAAAGACCTCTGTATAACCAAGTAAATGTAGCATTGATAGAAACCCAATGTTGGCCAATAGTAAACAAGAGGAATTGAAACAGTATCTGGTCAACATTGAAAATGATAAGATTATACAACATTCTAACTTGAATTCACTGTTAAGAATTTGCAAAAGTCCACAATATGTGACATTGACTTTATTTTTCCAATTATTTAAACAGCTGTGATTACCTGCTGATCTGCTGGCAACACAGTGACTGGATAGCTAAGGTATTTGAACCAGGAGGTGCCAGGTTTAATTTCTAGTTTATGCTCAGTGAGCCAACATAAGATGAGCAGCAATTGGAACTCCTCAACTTTTTGCAACAGCCCTAGATAAAAAAAGGGAAAAATCAGCATGCAATGCTTTTTCTGTCATTTTTCCGGTCATGACAGCTGGAGTTTCCATGTATGGGGACATTGAGCTCGGTCAGGATTGCCTACATTGACTATTTTCAGAGAATCTGCCTGTTAAAACTAACTGGTTGAACTCATAGATGAAAGATAATGCCATTTGAGTAGTTGGAAAAGTCCTGGCAACTACCTACACCTTTGAGGCCATACTCCAGAAACAGTTAGCAACTTCAGGAGGGAAATGAGAAAAGGCAAGATGATCCAAAAGTGATAACTTGTGAAATCTGTTCATCACTACCTGGTAACAACAGAGGCAGTTTTAGCATTTTAGGTACAACAGTGGTATCTCTATCTGACAGTATAGAATTAGCAAAGTAAAAATAGCTTAACGTGCAAATTTCAAAAACTGTGCCCATGCCAGTAATCCCTTGAATATACAGTCCTTCTGTTGGTACTGTTCCCCTCTCCTACTAACCCAGAAATGTTAACATTCACATTTTGAATCAATCACATTGTAAAATTACAGATGTAGGTCATGCTGCAGCATTCAGCTGAAAGATTACAAACATTTCATGCTATAGATACATTGAATAAAAATATTCATCCTCAGGTGCAAATGTTAAGCAAAAAACTTTTTTCCGAAGAAGGGTGTAGGCCTGAAACGTCAGCTTTCCTGCTCCTCTGACGCTGCTTGGCCTGCTGTATTCATCCAGCACTACATCATGTTATCTCAGATTCTCCAGCATTGGAGTTCCTACTATCTCCTAAGCAAATCTACATCCCAGTTGCAAACTAAAAACTATGTCCCAGTACAAATTCCTCTCATCTTTGTGCAATTTTTAAGAATTTTCAGAGAGTTGAGATGTCTGCTAATGTGACACTTGTTTTGAAGGGTGCCCCACAAACAAATTTCACATTCACTGACTCTTAAAATGTTCCCCACCAACGACATGGACTGACCTGCAACTGTGGGTTTCTTTTTTGCTCTTGCCTTTTGTGAAGAGAGGGATAACATTTTCAATCCTAGATAGTAGGAACTGCAGATGCTGGAGAATCTGAGATAACAAGGTGTAGAGCTGGATGAACACAGCAGGCCAAGCAGCATCAGAGGAGCAGGAAGGCTGACGTTTTGGGCCTAGACCCTTCTCCTGCTCCTCTGATGCTGCTTGGCCTGCTGTGTTCATCCAGCACTACACCTTGTTGTCTCATATTTTCAATCCTGCAGTCTTCTGACACCATCCACATATTTAACAAACGCTGTCTGATTGTAGCCAAAAACTCCTCAATTTCACAAGTGGCAGCAGCAATTAGGGGCAACACAGTGGCTCAGTGGTTAGCACTGCTGCCTCATAGCGCCATAGATCCGGGTTCGATTCCATGGCTGGGTGACTGTCTGTGTGGAGTTTGCTCATTCTTCCCATGTCTGTGTGGTTTTCCTCCGGGTGCTCCGGTTTCCTCCCACAGTCCAAAGATGTGCAGGTTAGGTGGATTGGCCATGCTAACTTGCTCATTGTATTCAGGGATGTGTAAAGTAGGTGGTTATATGGGTCTAGTTTGAATGTTCTGATGGTCAGTGTGGACTTGTTGGGCTGAAGGGCCTGTTTCCACACTGTAGGGATTCTATGACTTCAAACTTTGCTTCCCTCATTAACCAAGGATTCTTCTGACATGGACAGGGTGATTCTTTGAACCTTTTAAGTATCTCATCTTTACCTGTTTTTATCTTATTCAGCTTCTCTACAGTGTGCTCCTTTGCTATGACATTGGGGGCAGATTCCTCATTGATGTAAAGTCTTCATTTCAAATGTCTGCCACATTCTCCATTTCTACAAGTTGATTTTTCTCACCCTGATTGGCCCCATGCTTCAATTGACTACACGTTTACTGTTTGGATGTTTATAAAAATTGTTTTGGTTTTTTATGCTATCTGCTAATCTATTCTTTGCTCCTCATTACATTTTTTTAGATGTCTGTATGTATCAGGTTGATTCACTACTGAATAATGAACCTGAGATTTATCATAAGCCTCATTTTGCTGCAACGTTTTAATCTCAATATGTTTACTCATCTACATACTCTAGAATTGGATGCCTGTGGAACTGTGTCTAGTCTGGACCCAAATTATGTTGAGTTTATTTAAAGACAGTTTTGCAGTGATGTGGTTGTTGTGAGATGCTGGGGACCAGAGTGCACATTTCCATCTTAAGTTCCTTCACCATAGAATTGGGCGGATCATAGAATCCCTACGGTGCAAATAGAGCCCATCGAGTCTGCACCAACCCTCTGAAGTACATCCCCATCAAACTGCGCACCCCCTATTCCCCCACCCTGTCTCTGCATTTCCCATGGCTAACCTACCCAGTCTGCACATCCCTGCACACCAAAGGGCAATTAAGCATGGCCAATCCACCTAATCTGCACATCTTTGGACTGTGAGAGGAATCCGGAGCACTCAGAGGAAGCCCACACAGACATGGGGGGAATTTACAAACTCCACACAGACAGTCATCAGAGGCTGGAAATGAACCTGGGCCCCTGATGCTGTGAGGCAGCTGTGCTAACCAGAAAGAATGCTATCATTAAGAATGTATTTCAGACAACGCTTAGACGTTGAGAGATTGTGTTCTGTGCTGTTTAGGCCACGGTATATTTATATTTTAATCATTGTATAAGTGAACATGTAAGGAAAGAATGCATTAAAAATAGTGAAAGATTCCAGGCCTGAGCTGAGAGGGCCTCTGACCTTGCTTCCTTTCATACTTGTGTCCTCGCCCACAATTTACAGGGTTTCTTTCTGTTGCGACTTAAAGTGTCAAATACCTGTTACCCTGTCAGTCCTCAATCCTCATCCTATTTCATGTCTTCAATTGCCATGCTTATTATCTAGTTGCAATTATAAAGCAATATCAGCTGGAAAAAAGAGGCTGGGAAAAGTATCACCCCAAGTGTACAGTCTCGCTGCCGTCTTCTGTATTTAGCTATACATGCAGGTGGCTTGTGTGAACATTGCTCGTGTGCTTTCTACCTTGGTAGTTTTAATATCACAGATTAAGTGAATGATTATCAATGAATAAGTGAAAGCCACAGTCATGAGAGTTTTCAGTGGCTGATTATTCTGTCTCCTATTCATTATGAAGCAACATTGTAATATTTGGTAAAATATGATGAAACCTGCCCTGATAACCTTTAAACTCCCTTCGTATCTGCCGACAGGTGAAGTGCCACTTACCCTTTCTATTGTTGCCATCCATACTGTGAACCATTGCAGAATTCTCCTCACAATAAAAAGAACCATTCTTCTGGTTAATATTCCTGTTACAGAATCTCTGGAGCTCAATCTGAATATGACAGCGACACACAATTTGAGCTTACTGTATCCTCAGAAGCAGCGCAGCTTTAAGGTGAACAGTGGGTATTTTAGACTTCCTGCGTGAACTAAACCATCTCTTGATCTGTGCGTGCTCCTTGTGCAATATGTGCATTATAATGGAGTAATAGGCTGATGCATGATCAACTCAGTGCACGGTGCCCAAATCAAATTGAATCCTGCCATAATGCTATTTTAAACTCAACATAAACTTGGACACAATACCGTTCAAAGTCAGGTAGTTAATGTACTGGATGAGAGCAATTTATTCAATACTCAAATCAAAGAAAGCTGTCAGAATTCAGTCCTTTGTGAAATTATGACTGACACAAAGATATAACAAGGGAACTGGCAGAACTGCAAATCCTTTGCAAAATGTTTGCTAGAGCAGTGCTGGATGAGTTCCTGATATTTGTATCAACCGGACCTCAATACTTTCTTTATTTGAAAAGACACAGCAGAATGCCAGTACTGAATCTTCACACACAGCTTTGACAATGAGATATTTGCCTCAACAGTACTGTTTCCTGATATTTTATCCTTAATGCTAGAGTTCAGGCTTTGAGCTATTTGTCATTTGGTGAACCAGCAGCAGGAAATATATTATCGAAAATCTCCATCTAACATATTTTCCCAGTCTTTTTCTACTGTCATCAAATCCAGTCTCCAGCCATAAATGTCAAGTGGATGATCTTGTCCTCCTCCAGGGGTCCCCAGCATTACAGATACCAGTCTTCAGCCGATTTGATTCACTCCACATGATATCAAGAAATGGTTGGATACACTGGATACTCCAAAGGCTAAGGCCCTGACAACATTCCGGCAATAGTACTGAAGATTTGTGCTTCAAAACTTACCGCTCCCCTAGCCAAACTGTTTCAACACAGCTACAACACTGGCATCTACCCAACAATGTGAAAAATTGCTCAGGTATGTCCTGCACACAAAAAGCAGGACAAACCCAACTCGACAAATGGTAACTACCATCAGACTACTCTCAATCATCAGTAAAGTGGCCCTGTCAGTGGTGCTATCAAACGGCGTTTCCAAAAGGACAACCTGCTCAGTGACGCCCAGTTGGGATTCTGCCAGGGACACACAGCTCCTGACCTCGTTACAGCCTTGGTTCAAACATGGACAAAAGAACTGAATTCCAGAGGT